TGAAATAATAAATACAGCTGAAGATGGGAGGCAGATACAAGGTAGGCTGGTGATTGGCTGAAAAGGACAGAATGAGGCAGGGAAAGGGAAGAGGATATGGGGGTTGTCAGGAGGAGGGAAAGAAAAAATAGTGGTGGGAGGGGATACAGGGGAAACAAGGTGCCTACCACAAGTCCTTGCAGGGTCCCTACCATGCAAGTGGGCCTGGCCCAGCAGCCAGCACCACACAACTGATCCACAGTTTTCCTAGGCAAACAATACCATGGGAGGGAGGAGCTGAAGACAAAGGGGCAGAATAATATAGATTGGCTAGTGGATGGGAAGCAGAGAAGGAAGCATGAAAAGGTTTATTGGGCTTTCAGGCAAAGAAAAAAGGAAGTAGTGGGGGAGGGGAAAATGAGATGCTTCCTGCGAGTCCTTGTGGGTTCCCTCTTGTTAAAGTACAAAACCCTGAAGGCTGAAATATGTCTGGTTTCTAAATTTTTGGGGTAGATTGTAAAGCTGAAGAGCCTGGCCTAGCCTGCCCTAGCCACAGTTGGTTACGATGTCCTGACTGGGTGGTTTAACAAGCTGCATCTTTTGTTTCTTGGTGGCAAACCAAGATTTTTAGCCAGGATTAAACTGTGGCTTTGAATTTTGGTTTGGAGGCAAGAACCTAACCATAATTTGTTTAATTTTCCGATTTGGATGTCACAATGAGAAAGTGGTTCTTAAATCAGGGAATCTTCAATCTTATGCAACATGCAAAGGAAGGAGGGGAGAAGCCTGCGAACCTGCAGACCTCCTGGCCCTTTCTTACCACAGATGAATGATGGCTTGTTTGTGACGTTCGAACATAGTCACTATCTTCCAGAAGATGTTGTCTCAGTCGGTTTATGAAACCTTAAATTGAAAGGCATACTGCCAGAATCTGAAACACTGACAGTGTCAGGTAATAATTTACATTTTGATGGGAAAAGATGACAAGATCTGACATTCTAGAGTCTACTAGGCTTGGTATTTTTATGAAGGGTTCAGCACAGAGCACATCAATAAGAGATTGTTGCCTTTCATTCTTTTTTTCGAGGAGAGATAAAGAATTGAATGCTTTTGAATATTTAAGGCTTAGTTCAGACATAGCACAAAACCACAGTTTAATTTAACTATGGCTCATTTGTCCAAGCCCCGACCTAGCCTAATCTCATCAGATCTTGGAAACTAAGCAGGGTTGGCCCTGGTTTTGCTTTATTAACCATAGTGCCCCAACCTGACTATCCCAGACTAGCCTGATCTTGTCAGATCTTGGGAGCTAAGCAGGGTCAGCCCTGGTTAGTATTTGGATGGGAGACCACCAAGGGGGTCCAGGGCCATGACACAGAGGCAGGCAGTGGCAAACCACCTCTGAACATCTCTTGCCTTGACAATCATTACATGGTCACCATAATTCGAATTCAACTTGATGCAAAGTTCAAGATATGCAAAGTCCAAAATAACAAGCTAAGCATAGCAGTTGACCTTATAACCTTAGCTTGTTATTTCGGACTTTGCATATCTTAAACATCATCATGTTACATGTTAATTTCCCTGTCTATAAGTTTGAACCTTACACACCATCGCAATGTACTTGAAAAAGTGTGTCTTGCACACGAAAGCTCATACCTTGAATATACCTTGAATAAACCTTTGTTGGTCTTAAAGGCGCCACCAGACTCTAATTTTGTACTACTGCTTCAGACCAGCATGGCTGACCACCTGAACCATTAAGTTACTGTCCCTGTAGAACAGGTGGTGTTGAACCTTGGAGTGTAAACTGTACCTGTCGTGGAGAGATGACTAGATAGCCAGCTTCATTTAGTAACAAGATGCAATATAATTATTGACTAGTAGAAATTGCTTTTCGTAAATAAAAGGAAACTGGAAGAAATATCTCATATTCCTGACGCCAGCATCATTCTTAGACATTAGTGTTGACTTTTTAGGTACCAGTTTTGCACAAGATTGAATACGTTTTTCATGCATGTGTTAGATTTAAGTTTTATGTTACTGTGATTGAAAACAAAAATAAGTGTGGCTATATTTAAACATCCCTTAGACATTAAACTGATAAGTGCACGAATTTAGCTCTGTATTGTGCTTGTACCTGGCCTCCTCCTTCCCTTCTTATGTGGACAATCTCAGTTAGAAACTAACTTTGGATACCCGTGCCCTACTTATTCAGGCAATATGGATTAACTGCAGCTAATCTTCCACCCCCGACCCAGGATTCTAAGCCTGGATTAAATTTCAGTTTAGAAACCTGGTTTGACAGGGAGGAAAACGAACTCCTGTTAATTCACATGCCTGCATTCATATGGCAACCAGAGCCATCTGTGTGGTTGAAAGGAGAGTAGAGTAGTGAGATGCGTGTGTGAGCACTGCAACAAATTGGGTTTGTTGATAGATCAACATCTGGCTGCTTGTAGTAATGTTTGAAGACAACCGATACCATCTCAGGGAGCTTAATAAAGGTGAATATCCTTCAAGCAGTTAATATTCTGAACAGCGATTGATAACCTGGAGAGTACTGTTAACAAGGGGGGGGGGGAGGCAGCCTGGTATAACCTGATCTCATCAGATCTCAGACACTTGGTAGGGTCGGTACGTGGATGGAGGCCGCTAAAGAGCCAGTTTGGTGTAGTGGTTAAGTGTGCAGACTCTAATCTGGGAGAACCGGGTTTCATTCCCCACTCCTCCACGTGCATCTGCTGATGTGACCTTGGGTCAGTCACAAGCTCTGGCACAGCTGTCCTTGGAAAAGAGCAGTTTGTGTCAGAGCTCTCTCTGCCCCACCCACCTCACAGGGTGTCTGTTGTGGGGAGGGGAAGGGAAAGCCGCTCTGAGACACCTTTGGGTAGTGAAGGGCGGGGTATAAATCCAATCTCTTCTTCTAAAGAAGTTTCTGCAAGGGACGGCAATGGCAAACCACCTCTGCTTCTCACTTTGCCTTGAAGGCCCCTTGTTGGTGTCACTGTAAGTCATGACTTGACAGTGCTTATGTATATATTTTTAACAACAGAAGAACACTGTCAGAGGGCCAGTGTCCTGTATTTACCAGCCAACAAAATGTTGCCAAATCTTATTGTCATATGCCTCATTTACACTTTCCCTGCTTGAGATGGGATTTGTAACATAATTCCAAAGGCCTGATTTGAAGCAGAGGATCCTAATTGTTATTAATTTTTATCCCACCCATCCTCCCAAGGAGCTCGGTGTAGCATCCATGGATCACTCCTCCTCTGTGCTTGGCTGAGAGGGGAAGAGGGAAAGACGGGCCTGGTGTCCCCCCGTGAGCTTCACCGCAAATGTAGATCTGAACTTGGATTTCACAGACCCTTCTCTAATGTTCTAAGCACTTGGTGCCAGAGCATCATTAATGTTGCCTCTGAGAGCATGTCTGGACTGTTAACCAAAATTAATTTTATTGTTATGACTTCACCCCCAAGGAAGTGCAGTTCTGTGCAGGGCTAGAGATCTTAAGGCAGTTTCCATTCCTCGGAGAACATCCTGAGAGCGTTCCTACAAAAGCTTCTTTCCGCTGACAGTTTAATAATGCACACTGTCAGACCAGTGGATGCTGGGAGAAAACAGAATGTCGGATTAATTTTCTTTAAGAAAAGCTGGTTGACAGCGGCTGTTCAGTTTGTTTGTTTTTTAATAGAGCTCTTTGCCTGTTGACAAAGCAATTTTCTCTCTGTGCTGCATAAACATGCAGAGTAAAGCAGGAAGTGATGGATGGGAATAGCGGATTTGTTGTCTGTTAAGGTGTCGATCTGGTTATTTCTCAAAAGTATTGCTCAGCTTTCCAAAACCTGCTGTGATACACGGAATGATTACAGCCACTGAAAGCTAAAAATACTGACTTAACTAAGGTGGCCTAGTGGAGCCTCCATTTTCAGGCAGCATCCTTTGGAATAGCTGCTGTAGGGGTCAAAAATCAGTGAGGCCCATTCATGGCCTCCTTGGGCATTCATTGGGACTCAGTGGACACTTGGTCTGAGGCTGCAGTGGCCATTTGGATGTCCTTGAAAGAAGGCAGCATGAATAATAAAAACAGGACTATGTATTTCAGGCACCTTTGTAAATGAGAAGGCTTTTCAGGAGCTGGAGAAAGGTAAACAAATGTGTACCTGATGGGCATCCTTAGGGTGGCTGCTCTATAAAGCAGGCACGTGGGGAGATTTGGATGGGAAAGGCATTTCCTAAGGTATCCTGAAACTCAGATTATTTAAGGTGTTAAAAGTAACAACCAGTACTTCAGCCTGGATGCAGAAGCTCATAGGCAGTCAGTCCAGTGGCTCCAATATGGAAGAAGTGCTGTCTCTACCACTGTGGCAAAGGCAGTGGGAGTTTATGGCACATCTTGAAGGGAGTTGAAGAACTCGTGTGGCCTGGCTGGATCATAGAGTCTGTCCTACCCTGCCTCTTCGGGCCTGTGCTTGATTCCAGGATCAGTCCAGTACATGCAACAGAAGCCCAAGGCTTGTGGTATCATAGGGCTGAGTATGCCTTTTAGTGTGTATGAATAATATGTAGCATTTATAGAGCACTACTGTGGCGTCATTGTACAGTCTGGAGTTGAAGCACACATGCCAAGATAACCAGTCACTATTAACCATACAATTTCCCACAGTGACTGCCAAGTTTCAACAAGGGCTGGAGCGTTCGTTTCTTGAAACACAACTTCACAGAGAGTTGTTGCAATAATCAAACCAAAGGGTTATCAGAGCATGTGGATGACTATGGCCAGATCCTGGTGTCTGAAGGCAGAATGTTCAGTCATGATGTCTTAAGTAGATGCTGCATCATACAGATTTGATTCAGCCGTCTAGGCATTTTAAGTAATTCTTCCATCTTATTTACGTGTAGTAGCTTTTGGCCCTGTCAAAATGTTGGTATGTGTCTCTTAATCACTGAAGACTAGGCTATCCCAGTCCTCGGGGATTTTTCCCCCATAGGAGGAAAACTATACTTTTGGTCACCTCTGAGTGTGGATATAATCAGACAGGAATTGTCTTTGCCTGGTGACATCACTTCCTGTTAACTACAGCTGGTGCCTTATTTGTTGATGGATTTTGCCTTTTCTTTTTCCTTCAGGAACAAATCAAGCTACATGACTTGCTAAAAGAAGAGGATGATGTTATGTTGGGGATATTGGTCTTTTGGACTTCCTGGGGCAGGCAGCAGTCTCCAGGCAATCATCTCTGAGCCTCAGAGCTGTGGTTTCCTTCATGAAAGGAATGTCAAAGAAGTAGCTTGTGGTGGAAACCATTCTATTTTCCTGCTGGAGGATGGGCAAGTCTTTACATGTGGCTTAAACTCCAAAGGACAACTAGGCCACGAGAGGGAGGGAAACAAGCCAGGTAAGTTGATTCTTAGCCTTTAGAACCAATCCCTATTGGTGACAAAAAGTGTAGAGTTGGCAGTGTCTAAGGGGGAGGAGATTGTGACTTTTAGCCCTGAGTGGTCAACTGGCAAATGGGAATTCTTCACTCAGCAGCCTCTTCTTCCTGTCTATGGGAATCTCTATTCAAGCATTTCCCATTTTCAAGGTTTTGACTGAAACTCATGTGGAGTGGACGCTGGGATGAGTGCACTGGCTGCACCCCCCTGCCTTCATGTGCTCTTTGGTTAGTGAGCGCAATGTCTACGCACAGTCTCCATGCACAGTCTCCCTTCCCACAATGGGAAATTATTCTTTTTTTTAGTATTCCCAGTCGTAGGAGGAGCCTATTTATTTATTTATTAAATTAGATTTACTAGGCCGCCCTTCCCTAGAGCAGGGCTTAGGGTGGCTTACAACAGAATAAATATAAGAAATGTCAATTTAAAACTAAATTAAAATAACCCAATAAATACCAATACCTAAAACAGCATACATGCAGAAAGCAGCCTATATAAGATGGTGGAAAGAATCCCAACCCCCCAGCCTCCCTAAGGGGAGGGGTTACGGGGGATGGGGACTTATGTAAGAGTGCCAGATGGCGCCCCATCGCTGTCCTCAACTGAAGGTCCGGTGGAACATCTTTGCCTTGAATGCCCTGCGGAAGGGTAACAATTCCCTCAGGGCACGGATATCTTCTGACAAGAGCATTTCACCAGGTGGGGGCCAGGGCTGAAAAAGCAAAACCAAGGAATCATTACACAAGCATTTCCCATTTTCAAGGTTTTGACTGAAACTCATGTGGAGTGGACGCTGGGATGAGTGCACTGGCTGCACTCCCCTGCCTTCATGTGCTCTTTGGTTTGTGAGCACAATGTCTACGCACAGTCTCCATGCACAGTCTCCCTTCCCACAACGGGAAATTATTCTTTTTTTTAGCATTCCCAATCGTAGGAGGAGCCTATTTATTTATTTATTAAATTAGATTTACTAGGCCGCCCTTCCCTAGAGCAGGGCTTAGGGTGGCTTACAACAGAATAAATATAAGAAATGTCAATTTAAAACTAAATTAAAATAACCCAATAAATACCAATACCTAAAACAGCATACATGCAGAAAGCAGCCTATATAAGATGGTGGAAAGAATCCCAACCCCCCAGCCTCCCTAAGGGGAGGGGTTACGGGGGATGGGGACTTATGTAAGAGTGCCAGATGGCGCCCCATCGCTGTCCTCAACTGAAGGTCCGGTGGAACATCTTTGCCTTGAATGCCCTGCGGAAGGGTAACAATTCCCTCAGGGCACGGATATCTTCTGACAAGAGCATTTCACCAGGTGGGGGCCAGGGCTGAAAAAGCTCTGGCCTTGGTTGAAGACAGCTGGACTTCTCTCAGGCCTATGTGGATACACTTTCTCCAGTTTGGTGTAGTGGTTAAGTGCGTGGACTTTAATCTGGGAGAACGGGGGGTTTGATTCCCCACTCCTCCACTTGCAGCTGCTGGATGACCTTGGGCAAGCCCTAGTTCTGTCAGAGCTGTTCTCTCAAGGACAGTTCTCTCAGAGCTCTGTCAGCCCCACCTACCTCACAGGGTGTCTGTTGTGGGGAGGGGAAGGGAAAGGAGATTGTAAACGACTCTGAGACTCTGAGTGAAGGGCGGGGTATAAATCCAATCTCCTCCTCCTCTGTGTAGACTCCATGCTCACAAACCAGTGATCAGTGGAGGGAAGGGTCTGTGGCATGCCCACTTGTTTCCACTCTCGCTCTTTGCCATTTGATTGAATGCTGTTGTGTGTAGGGGAGTTAGGTTGTCAGCAGGCTGGTGCAGGGCAGAAATTCTGTATTTTTGGCAAAATGGAAATCCGGTTGATTCTTCCTTCCTTTCAAGATGACACAGGAGGTAACAACAAGTCTAGCTTGCCACCTAGTGGTGCATAACACTAAAAAAAGAGCTAGAACTTTTGGCTGCCATACAGTCTTAGGATCTCCTGGCTATTCTACACACAATGTCATACGATAATAATTATTATTTGCAATTATGTATAAAAGCTATCCTTTGACATTTTGTTGTAGGCTGTTGCTAGACTATTGTTCTTCACCAGTAATGCAGCCGACTTTCAATCACCCAAAGTGTTGTTGGCTGAAATGTCTTCATAAATGTTGCATCCAGTCATACTTCTCATAGCATAGTTGGTGAGGCTGTAAGAATATCTTCTCCCATTGCATGCGGCTTGGCTTGTAAAGGGGAAAGAGCACCAAGTTTCTGTTTCAGTTTCCAAAGGGACTATACTGTCTCACTATCTGACTTATTCTGTTTTCAAAGCAGTGTCACATGCTGTGTTTTTAGCACATGCATCCTTACTCAAAAAGTAAGAACTCAGAGCGAGAGAGAAATGCCTGTTTTCTACTGCTTTTATGATCAGAAGATACTCAAGTTTCCTTGACAGGAAACTTTTTGAGTGGCCATCACCTTTTCTCTTGTTGTATCTATATATCTAATAGCCAAGTTGCCCCCTCTGTGCAGATATCTAAATCCACATATCGGGGGCACTTGGGGGGCAGAGAGATTTTCCTGCACACTTGGGGCAGTCCCCAGGTGTGCAGAAAAATTTGAAAAGTTTTTAAAAGTATATGGGGGATACTTAAATCCCCCCCAAAGTAAAAGAGCGTTCTCTGCGCATGTGCAGAGAATGCCCTGGCAACAGTCTCTCCCTCGCTGTTGCCGGGGGAGGGAGGAGGCTTGGCAGGCTGCCGCCGGCGGGGAGTGGTTGGTGGAGGAGGGAGAAGGCTTGGCGGGCCCGGCAGCTGGGAGCTGTGCGGGCTTCACTGTTGGTTCCGGGAGGTGGGGGAGAAGGCTTGGCAGGCTTGGTGGCTGGGAACCGTGTCGCTGAGAGGGTGGGGGGAAGGCTTGGTGGGCCCGGCGGCTAAGAGCCGCGTGGTCCTTGACGTTGGTGCCGGGGGTGTGGGAGAAGGCTCATCTGCGGCTGCTTCCTCCTCCACGTGGAGCTCCCCCCCACGAGTATCGCGGGTCCCCCTTCTTGTTTTATTCTAAAAATACCGTGTTTCCCCAAAAATAAGACACTGTCTTATATTTATTTTTTCTCAAGAAGACACATTAGGGCTTATGCCACAAATGCATAGAAATCCTGCTAGGGCTTATTTTTGGGGTAGGTCTTATTTTTGGGGAAACAGGGTATTGGAATCCTTGGTTTGGGATGGAATCCTTGATATCCAAGAATTCCATTTGAGCATTATTTGTTTGTTTGTTTGTTTGTTTATTGAACTTCTATATCGCCCTCCCCACAGAAACGGGCTCAGGGTGGTATACAGCAATTTAAACAAGCAACATTTCAAAATTCAGATCCACTAAAATACTGAAAACCATACAATGGTTCCATAATGCGAAAATTTCTGTACCCCATTAATTGGGGGGGGGGGGATTGAAAGGCATAGCTGATAGAACTGTTGCTGTTAAAAAAAACGCTGTCCTCAACTGGTGGAACATCTCTGCTTTGCAGGGCCTTCAGAACTGTACCAGGTCCCGCGGGGCCTGGATGTCATTTGGCAGAGAGTTCCACTGGGTCGGAGCCGGGGCAGAGAAAGCCCTGGCTCTGGTTGAGGACACCTCTGGCAGATTTTGTTCTCCTGAGTGCAACACTCTCCAGGGGACATACCAGGAGAGGGGGTCCTGCAGGTACGTGGTCCCTGCGCTACTCTGCACAAGAATTCTGTTTTCCAAACTGCCTGTCATTTACCCCGTTTGTTGGGTGGATTTCAGAAGACTCTGCCAGCTGGCTATAACACTCTGTACTTTTTGAACAGGAATGCAATAAGGTTCCTAGCATGGTGTTGGAACACATAGCACATGTACCAACAATTTGACAGTATAGTCAGGTTCCTAGGACAGAACTATCAGATGTAAAACAAAACTTCTTCTGTTGCATGTCAACATAGGACTGCCAAAAATATCCCCTAGGCCTTGTGGCAGAGGAAATCCCAGGCGTGTCCAGTTTGTTCCTACATTGACCCACCCCTTATTACTTTAAATAGTGTTACTCATCTGTCCTACATAGTGCTTTTCAGTGGACAGTCTGTTCTGCAGTAATTCATTCATCTAAAGCATAAGGATTATTTCCATTTCACATGCTGTGGTCTGTTTTTTAATTTACCTGTGCTTATGAAAAAAATTTACTGGCCTCAGATTGGGGTTTTGTAGACCCTAGTTAAGTTATGGGGGGGGTTGTGAAATATATTTGACAATTATTTGACAATTACTATAATTTAATCTATACAACTACATGTTTGTTGAGGATTTTTTAAATGTATGGGGTATAAACATACAGGAGTAATATCTCTTAATTTCCCTGGAGTATAACAAATCCTATCTATCTTCTTCAATCGCTTTTTCTTTTGACTTGAAATTATTTTATAGTCTGCCTTTCTCACTCAGTCTCAAGGCAGATTGTAGGATGTAAACAGTGCAATCAAACTGACCAGATGACCAGTGAACAATGCAATAAGACTAGGATTACAGAATTTGGAAATATTGCCAGCAACAAGCTATCTAAGGTGTATTATAAACAATACAGAAAGTGGATTACAAGGCAATGCGGTAAAACAGGTGATATCTACAAGAATCATTGCCTTTTGAAACATGATTTAAAAGAAAAATACATGATTTACCCTCTAATGGCTGCATTAATATAAAGTACTTATTGTGTTGCTGGATATGGTTTTCACCATGTGATTATTTAGACCCTTAATATCTTAGTGTTTCCTTTTGTTTTGTTCATTTTCCTAGGAGTCTAGTGGTAAAGTCCTATACAGAGTTACTCCAGGGCAAGGCTACTGAAATCTACATAGGCATAGGATCACAGTGGCCCTGATGCCCTTGAAAGGAGACAATCAAAATAAAAACACACATACACACATTGGGAGGGAGAGCTTGAAACACTGAGTAATTAATTAATCCTTTTCGTAGGTCTGGTGTCAGTAGGGCATTGCTGTTGGTACCACCAGTTGCAGGTAGCCCCCACCATGTCATGCCATTCTTTTTGCTGTTGGGAGCATGGATAGCATGCAGATAAAGGCAGCGCTTGATGGTTCACACTGGAAACTGATGGGCAGTGATGGTTTTGTGTGACTCTAGTATTTCTTTTTCTATGCTTGTTCCGACACTCAGCGTCCAAACCCTGCCCCTGAACTATAAAGCTGTCTTCTGGACGGTAGCCAAACCAAGAGGCCTGAACACCAGCTTCACCACCTAGGGAAGTTCATGTCCCATTCGTGTGTGTGCCTGTGTGTTCAAGACACAATGCTGCAGAACGTTTTCTGGTATATTGCTAACTTAAGCACTCATGTTGTGCCCATGACCTCTTCATGGTAGAGGAATGCCTGAAGGCACAGGGGAAATTTATTTACTTCATTCATAGTCTGCGTTTCTCATGGAGGCCCAAGGTGTATTACAGAGCTGGAAGACAGTGCAATAAAAGCCAGTATAATAACATACAACACACAGTGCGATAAAACTAGTTTCAGGTGGGTAGCCTTGTTGATTTGTATTAGGAGAGTAAGATTCGAGTTCAGTAGCCTGTTATTTATTTATTTATTTTATTTATTGACATTTTTACCCCGCCCTCCCCGCCGAGGCAGGCTCCGGGCGGCTTATATAGGAAAGGCCAACAAGATTTTCCAGGGTTTAAGCTTTCGAGAGTCAAAAGTTCCTGCATCAGGTATCTGAAGAAGGAAGCTTTTAACTCTTGACAGCTTATACCCTGGCAAATCTTGTTGCTCTTTAACAGGCCACTGGACTCAAATCTCACAATAAAACTGGGTCTCAAGGTGAGAAAACAATGCAATAAAAACGAAATAATTCATGCAATAAACAGTGAAGCTAAAAAAATGCACAAAATGTTCACAGACTACCGCCCTGTTCCTTTTATTAAAATCGCTTCCCTGTACAATTTCTGTCTTACTACAGCACTAGTTTTGCTTTTTTTTTTAATGCAGTTTTGGGGGTCCCTTATATACCTATAAAGGCATAGGGAAGTTAAAATGAATGATGTTAGTCTCTGGATGATCTATCTGATGTTACATTCTGTGCCGTCCCCCTAGATTGCTGTGGAATGTAATCGCCAATGGGCTGTAATCTGTCTGAAAGAATTAATTTGCTGCTTGAAGCGGATGGAGGCGTTGCTGCTTGCTGCCTGGCGTTCAGGCCCTCTGTAGCAAATGTGGTGCTGTAGAGAGAATAGCTTCAGATTGTGGCCGTCACTCTTGATCAGTCCTCTAGTAAAACTTCCCCAGTGACCAGCAGCACATCTGCAAACGCATCCTAGCAGTTGTAATTAAGATAAAAGTAAAGTGTGTTCGAGTTCAACGATTTGGAAGAAAAGAAAGTGAATTATTCATAAACGGAAAGATTGTCCTTGTTTTACTCCTCTCCCGTCTTCTCTCAGTACTGATTCCACCCCCACCAGTCCCCATTCTAGGGTGGGTTGTGGGATTTTTGCCATTGAAGTACTTCAGGCCCTTCTATGGGAATTCTTCCCCCCTCCCCCAATAACAAATTGCGTAAAAGGGACAAGATGGCACCATCTGGAAAGGAACTCTTCTATTCGCTTGTGATTCATCCCTGGCTGTACAGCTGCTTAAAGTGGAAAATGGAGGCTATTTTCAGTTTGAGGGACCCTTACTGAGGCACTGTGTGTACAGAAGCCTCTCTTGTTCCTGTGTTGGTCTCTAGTTCCAATACCTGCCACCTAATGGAAAAGTCTCCTCATCACCTGCTGTGCTCCTGGCAAGCTGAATGGCCTTTGGGAGGGACCACAGAGAGCCACAAATTTGTGTGGAAAAGATTCTTGTCCTTTCCATTTAAAACAACTTGGCTAGTAATAGCTTTCGCGTGCAAGCGCACTGGTAAATAAAACTCCGTTGGTCCTAAAGGTGCCACTGAACTCGAACTTTGTTCTGCTGCTTCAGACCAATATGGCTACCTCACCTGAATCTTGGCTAGTGATAACTGGGAAGGAGCTTTAGCTGTGGTATTTAAGTGCTGCTTTCTGTCAGACAAGTGAGGCTAAACAGGCCAATGGTGCGATTTGGGATTTGACAGCTTCAGGGGTCATTTCCTGCAGGAGCGCACAGGAGCGGAGCTCCGGCAGCAAAGAGTTCAGGGGGCGGGCACATGCAACAAGCCCCACCCCCTGCTCCCAGCAGCCCTCAGTCAGAGCAAGAAGCAGCCAGGTAAGTTGCAGAGCCCCCCTCCCGCCCCCCCGTCCAAAACAGTCCAGTGGCACCTTTAAGACCAAGTTTTATTCAGGTACAAGCTCTCCCTCCTCTGCGAGGACAGATCTGCAGTTATGCGAATAAGAAGAGAAGAGAAGAGAAGAGATTGGATTTATACCCCGCCCTTCACTTGGAGTCTCAGAGCAGCTTACAAACTCCTTTCCCTTCCCCTCCCCACAACAGACACCCTGTGAGGTGGGTGGGGCTGAGAGAACTCTGACACAAACTGCTCTTTTTCAAGGACAGCTGTGCCAGAGCTTGTGACTGACCCAAGGTCACATCAGCAGGTGCAAGTGGAGGAGTGGAGAATCAAACCCGGTTCTCCCAGATTAGAGTCCGCACACTTAACCACTGCACCAAACTGGCTAATGAGCTTCTGCACCTCTTTTTCTACGAAATGACCCCTGGACGGCTTTATATGTAAAATTATCTGTCTATTTTAGGTCAGGGCTACTATGTAGAAAAAAGAGAGGATCTGTTTAATGCATCATATATACAGAAACGTTGCAAACAATGAATTATTATAGTATGTGTTTCTTAGTCATGAAACTTCCTTATGAAAAAGCAATGAGAATTGACTGCCAAATGAGGACAGGTATTCTGTTTGCTCAGCTTACTTGGTTACCTTTTTTTGCTGTACTCGTTGAAATGTGTATCAAAGAACACATGTTCAAAACAGTAAGGCAACTACAGATAGAAGTGTAAAGGCCTGAGGGGTAAGACATTTTCTTTCAGTTTTTCCAAAAGAAAAATTGCACACACATGAAACTCTCTTATACTTAATGAGACCCTTGGTCCGTCAGGGTCAGTATTGTCTGCTCAGACTGGCAGCAACTCTCTGGAGCAGTGTTCCTTCTAAGCTGAGTTAGTGTGAGCTAGCTCACAGTTTTTTAGCCTCCGGTTCACACATTTTTGTCTTCACTCAGGAAGGGATGGCTCCAGAGCGAACTAATTTATGCAGCAGCCGCTCGCTCACAGCTTTAATGCCAGTAGCTCACGAAGTAGAATTTTTGCTCACAAGTCTCCACAGCTTTAGAGGGAGCATTGCTCCAGAGTGTCAGGTGGAGGTTTTGTGCATCACCTCCTACGTTGGTCTTTTCAGCTGGAGTTGCTGTGGAGTGAAGCTGGGACTTCCTGCATGTTTACTGTCATGCTCTAGGATTTGTGTAAAACTCTTATGGTAAAAGATTTATCTAATCTTAGAGTGTGACCTTGACGTCACAGAGTGTCACTTCTGGTATTTGCTGGGAAAGTTGTCACACTGCTGGCATGACGCCATTTCTCCCCATTCCCGTGGGGGGTGGCTGCTGGTTGCTGAGCACTTTGAAAGGCTTCAAGTAATGCATTGGATCCTGCCCAACTAATAAATTATCTCATAGAGCTACAACAGCTCCTTGGGAATCTGACCAGCTTGTTTCCCATCAGTATGGACAAAGTGATATTATTTATTCAAAAGGTTTTCAGAGTTATTCCCATCTCTTCTCCCTTCTTTGCTCTCTGCAGTGGCCAGCTGCCAAGAGGTATCCTGTTGCTTGCAAAGCGACATTTTCTTTGTTTCTTTCTTTCCGCAGAGCAAATTTGCGCTCTAGCAGATCAGCACATCATCCATGTTGCCTGTGGAGAGGCTCACAGTGTGGCCCTCAGTGACCAAGGCCAGCTCTTTTCCTGGGGCGCAGGGAGTGATGGCCAGCTAGGACTAACCACGGCTGAAGATTCAGTGGCTGTCCCCAGGTAACCAGAACACTGATCAAATGCTGAGGTTTCCTAGGGAGTTTCTCCTGTCCTCCGTCTACAGTGGAGAGCCTCGGATGTTCCTTTTCACAATCGCTGGAGCAGGCCCATAGCTACAGTGGGGCATCTTGGGGCTAGGCCCCCTAACTTACTGGCAAAGCCCGGTGACTTCCCATCCAGCCCTGGGCGGCGGCAGGTGCAGGGAAGGAGCCAGGTATTCCTTTAATCTAATTTAATCCAGTGCCCCCTAAGAAATTTAAATGCCCCCCGACTTAAAAAATCCTGGCTGTGGGCCTGTGCTGGAGCAGGATGCAGGGCCTTAGCTGCTGTGGCCCAGACTTGCCCTTCTCTGTGAGGCCTGCCAGACACCATCAGTGTTGTTTTTTTTAGGAAGAGGGGAAAAACTATTTTGTTTCAGCAGGTTTGGAGAGGGGCTTAAGTTCGATGCGAGGGTATGGGAAGATTAGATACTGGTGTATTGGTGTTATTGAGGGTAGGTTTTGTATTATGATGTGGTTTTGATTGAGGATTAAAGGCAGGGAATGCATTTTAGAAGGGGGAAAAAGAGGTCTTCCAGGAAAGTTGAATGCTTGCATCTGTTCAGCTGTGCTGCATTTTCCTTAGGTTCCCAAACATTGTGGTAGTGATCTACTTTTCCGGTTTACTGATCTTCTGGTAGTAGTCACAGTCCCCAAATCCATGCATGTATGTGGGACAAACCCCTTGCCCTTCTGTGTTGCGTGGCTGAAGAGGCAAGCTATTTAAATTTACAGTATGTGTTGGAAACCTCTTGGCATTAATGTGTTTTTTCACTGAGGTCTCAGGTACCATCTAAAAGTACATTGGGGACTGTAGTTTTTAAGAATCCCTGTGCTAGGTGATGAAAGAGATGGACATGATTACAGAATATACTTACAGACCCCTCCATACAATATTCATGATTACACCATTATTGCCACTGAATAGCATTAATTTTTAAATGCAAACTAGTTATTTTTGTATCAGCAACATTGTGTTTATTAAACTGTTATGCCTTAACCTTGTGTTTTATAGCAGTAAATGCCATATTGAAAATTGAATGGATTCTCTTAGGTTCAAATTATTTTAAAAATCTATTGTTTTGCTGTTTAGGTTAATCAAGAAGCTGAATCAAGAGACGATACTGCAGGTCTCCTGTGGCAATTGGCACTGCCTTGCTCTTGCAGCTGGTACTGTAACATATTAACATGCAATAGCTGACTACCCTTACACAGGCTAAACCCTTAGTGAATCGAATGGCAAGATTTATTGAAAGAAATAGTACAAGAACTTGCAAAAACGTAAAGGTTGATCTCATGTTGAAAAGAGGTACCCTGTCTCTGTTTTCACACAGGAGGAGTTTCGTCTTTTAAGACGGTACTCGTACACAAATTTGTGCTTAGTAAAACTCATGTCTTTGATTGACTTGAGATTTCTTTCCTCAGATACTTCTTACATTTTTAGAATATCTATACGTTGCTCTGCTGAGAAAACAGAGCCGCCTCTGGAACCACGTCTTTGAACGAGTACTGTTCAAATGGTAAACCAGGGAAGGTTCTGGAAGGCCAGCTACCCTCTTTCAAGATCTGTTATTTCCAATAGTGCCTGATTTGGGGCACACACAAGGATTTCTGTAAAAGAGTCATTGTGATGTAGTGGTTAGACGAGGATTTGAGAGAGCCGGGTTTGAGTCCCTACTCTGCTATGAAGCTCACTGGGTGACTTTGGGGCAATCACTTTCTCTCACAGGGGTGTTGTGAGGATAAAATGGAAGAGAGGAAAACAATGTACACAGCGTGGAACTCCTTAGAGGAAGTGCAGGATTAAAAAAAGGACTAAATATGTAAGTAATAAATAACTGCAGCACGAAGATTATTTATCAACAATATGGAAGTATGAAATTTGTCTTGTACTGATTCAGAACATAGTCCATCTAGCTTAATATTGACAGCAGATCTTCAAGGCTTCTGTCAGGGGGGTCTGTCTTAGCCTTGTTATCTCTTTTTAACCCGAGGTGCTGAAGATTGAACCTAGGACTTTCTGTAGGGTTACCAGGAAACACCCCCCCCCCCGGTCTGGATGGGGGTCTCCTGCTTTCAGGCACTACTCTCCCCCTCAAATTACCCTGTTTTACCCCCGAGAAGCAGGAAATAACCACAGTGTGCATATGTAATGCAGAAGTGATGTAGACATGTTGGGCGGTGATGTTCTGCATTTTGGTCAAAAGTCTATGTAATTTGTAGTTAATTCTACCATAGAGTTTTGCCCCCAAACCAGAGCATCACCACCCGACGTGCCTACCTCACTTCCTTGTGATGTAGACATGTGGTGGTGCTCCTCCCTGCTTCCGGAAAGTTCCCTCCCACCCCCTGCTGTTGCATCGTTAGGACCTGGCAACCCTAACTTCCTTTATGAAGAGCATCTCTTCTGCCAGTGAACAATGGCTTCTCCCATGAACAGGGCTGGCTGAAGCCATTTGGGTGCTCCAAGGGGGGCCATCTCCAAGCAGGCCACGCCCATGCAGGGCAGTGGCTGTACAGACAGTGAGGGGATAGTTTCCTCTCATCATTGCTGCGACCATTCTGGACATGATAGTCACAAAAGCTTTGTATTTACAAAAGCTTGCCTCCCTAGGCTGCTTGCTGGCAGCTGCCCCTTGTTCCTGCTGCTCCCCTGACTCTGTAATTATAGGGAGGAGGAGGAGGAGATGAATGGCTTCTGTTCTCAGACTGAAGACTCAGGCCTATTTAAATACAGAGATGTAATCCCTAATTCAGGAAGTGCTGCCCCGCCTTCCCTTAACAGGATGTGGTGTGAGTACCTGTCTGATTACAGCCAGAGGAAGGGAGGGAGGAAGAGAAGATGTGAAGCAGGAAAGGGAAAGGCCACCAGCCCCTGTCAGCATGGCACCCTCAAGCAGCTGCTGGGGCCTGCTAACAACAACAACAATAATAATAAGCATTTTTGTTGAGATTCCAGCAGAGGTCTTTCCTAACCCAGCTGTCTGGAATCTTTTCAACTGGAAGTGCTTGGCCTTGAACCTGGGACCATTTACATGCAAGACCTCTGCCTTCTCCCTATAATCTCTAGCATATTTTGAGCATTTGAACCATTTCATGTGCATTATCTCATTAATCCACACAACAATCTTTTAAGGTAGGCCTCACATTATACGGTATTATTGTAGTATTCTGATAGCATTCTCATGTTGCATAGAGGAGTCTGAGAGAAAAGTGGTGTAATAAATAAGTAAATACTTAAATATCAAAGGGTACCTAGTGAATTCGTGGCTGAGGTGAGATTTGAAAAGGTACTTCTCAGCTCATGCTCTGAATATCAAAACATACAAATTGCTGGGAGGTAAGTTACTGGTTCCTCCCAGTCAGGGGTCATTTCGTAGAAAAAGAGCTAGGGGAACTCATTAGCATAACTCATTAGCATATGCCACACCCCCTGACATCAGGGGCCCAGCGGTGGACCTGCAAGGCCAGCGGGAGTGCGAGGAAGTCCTGCCAAGGCCCTCCCTGGCCCCAGGCAGGCAGGGGTGGGGAGAGGCAGGGAGGAAGCAACTTCCCCTCCCTCTTCTCCTGCCTCTTCCTGGTTGAATGAGGGCTGGAAGCGGGGCAGCCGGAAGCAGGGGGTGGGGCTTCGTCATGTGCCCCGCCCCCCTGCACCTCACTCGGGGGAACTGCGTTCCCCCACGTCCCCCCCGAAATGACCTCTGCTCCCAGTGTCTTTTCCTGCTAAGTTATGGCTGTCCTTGGAGAGGAGGTTTAACCCTTTTACCAAATGAAAACTGGGCCTTCCACACTGTCATTATGCCATTAAAGAACAAAAAAAGATAGATTTTCCTTCAGATAGCTAATAACTCTGTCCCTCCCCATTTTAATTAGCAAAGCCATGTGGGAATGGAAGGATTAAAGGCTTTCTCCCATCTCCTGTTGGCTCCAACCTGAACTAGAGCCTCGCATGGCCATAATTTGCTTTTAAAGGCTAGCAGAGAACTCTGTTATGTCTAGTTTGATGGTAATGCCATCGACATTAGCGAAGTGATTTCATGACAGCAGAATGACCTTGTGTCAGTTCTGCCACTGCAAGAAAATAAGAGTGTTGACTTTTCTGATTGTCGCTGTTTGTTTTCTATTGTTTTCCCAGATGGACAGTTCTTTGCGTGGGGGCAGAACAACCACGGGCAGCTCGGGCTGGGTAAAGAATTCCCCTCACAGCCGAGTCCTCAGCGTGTCAAGTCGCTTGATGGGATCCCGTTGGCGCAAGTCGCTGCTGGAGGAGCACATAGCTTTGCCCTGTCTCTCTCGGGAGCTGTGTTCGGTTGGGGGAAGAATAGCTCAGGACAGCTGGGATTGAGTGACGAACGAGGTACTTTGAGGAGTCTCCTTGGGGCAGGTGAAATTCTGACTGGTCATGGAGGAGGAGTTCCTGTGGAGCAACTCAGTTCTTTTTTGTGAGGGGACCCATCCACCCCTTTGCGTAGGGGGTTTATGAGGTGTGAAATGGGGACAGTATCTTGCGAAGAGAGGCTTGCTGCTGAGTTTTTATCCTGCTTGCCCAATACTTGAAAACAGAATTCAGCAATTGAAGGGTTTTTTTGTCCTCCCTAAGTACCTGTTTGGTGTACTGGTGGTTTTTTGTCCAGTTCTACCCCAAATGATTGCTGCTTTTCCCTGTCGTCCCCCCCCCCCCAATAGCTTCTTGAAATAGCTGTTAGTTCAGAGAGTAGCCATGTTGGTCTGCTGTAGAACTGCTAGATCCAAGTCCAGGAGCACCTTACAGGTCAACAAGGTTTTCAGGTATGAGCTTTCCAGAGCCAAAGCTCCCTTCGTCAGATACAAGAGCTTTGATTTTCGAAAGCTCATACCCTGAAAATCTTCCTTGTCTCGAAGGTGCTACTGGACTCGAATCTGGCTGAAGTAGCTAAGAGATTGTGAAGGAAAGGCAGAAGCGTAAGGGGAACACTCTTCTTCCCCCTCTCCTTATATATGCTCTTCTGAATTTCCTTTTAGGTCCAGCTCAGACACATAATGTCCCATAAGCTTGCCCTCCCTAAGTACCTGTTTGGTGTACTGGTTAGGAGCGCAGACTCTGATTTGGGAGAACCAGGTTTGATTCCCCACTCCTCCACATGCAGCTGCTGGTGTGACCTTGGGTCAGTCACAAGTCCTTTCGGAGCTGTTCTCTCATGAGCAGTTCTCAAAAGAGCTCTCTCAGCCCCACCTACCTCACAGGGTGTCTGTTGTGGGGAGGGGAAGGGAAAGGAGATTGTAAGCTGCTCTGAGACTCCTTCGGGTAGTGAAGGGCGGAGTATAAATCCAGTCTCCAAAAAAAAAAGAATGTATGCAGTGGTTTGAAGATGTAACCTTTGACCTCGTGACATCACACCGACAGGTGTTGCTTTCTGGTGGCGATTTGTGTGAGTTGCATGGTTGAAAAAAATATGCTGCCGTGCTCGCATGACTCCTACAGAGAAGCAGCTTCCATCCTCATGGCTGCCTCTGGTCAGACATTTTTTATTAATTCATTGGAAAGTTTCCACCCCGCCCCCCAATTAGTCTCCAGAGCGGCTTGTATACATTTTTTTAAATGATAGAAAAATAAAATATCAGAATAAGTTTAAATGAAGTATACTAGGACAGGAGAAAGAGGAACGATGGACTTTGCACTGGTGAGTCTTTGGAAGCTCTCAGCATGGTGGATTTTCAGTCTCTGAACTGAGAGTGTGCCAGGCTCCCTTTCTGTTACCCAAACTGTTTTGGGCAGATGGCTGGAATATATTTGTTTTATTTAGCTGTTTTACAAACATACCTGGGCTTTCAGTAAAAGCACCAAGGTGGCTTTAAAAAAAGCAGCGCAACAATAAAATACCATAACACAGTCACAAATGTGGCAACGCAAGTGACAAGTGAACTGTGACTAAAACAGAGCCAGTCAGTTAAGTTAAATCAGAAGCCAACATTTGAAACCAGATTAAAATTGCAGAAGAATAGCCATGATCAAACTAGACCAAAGTTCCTGCCCTAAAAGTGGTCTTTACTGGTTTAAAATGTTTAAGGGAGGGGCTGGACTAACATCTGGGGAAGGAAATCCCAGACTCTTGGTGCTCCCACATAGAAGACCCTGTCACGATGCCTGCTTACCAAATCTCTCATAGCACAATGCTGGTAGGCAGGTAAGTATATGGCTTTTAGAGGGGGCAGGGAAGAGTAGCACCAAGGCCCTACGGTAGTTGGACTTATCTGGCAGCTGTGTATCTAGACTCCACTCCAGGTGTGGTCCCCTGCTTTAACTGTTTGCTGATGATGGTTGTAAGAGCCATGTACAGATTCCCCTTGACCCTGAACCCAATTTGAACAGAACCTGAAATTTAATTCTCACCCAGTTGGGCTGCAGAATAATAATTCTGGTGACTCTACCTCAATCCTTACAACTGTATATTTCCACTGTTTAAGTTTAGGAAGAACGAGCTGAAGTCCCATGAGGAATCACTAGGTGTCAGAGGAAGAGAGAGAGAGAGGAGGAGAGAGAATTTGGAAATCCCTCTGCCTTCAAAAAGAGTTTCTCCTTCCAGAATTCTCTTAAGTTGTGAGGGGCTTGAGTAGACTGACTTCTGTGGTTGGCCCCGTTACGTGGCTCTCATCCTCCACACAGGGACCAGTCACGTTAGACAACTATATATAATGTTGTACGATGTTATTTCTAGTAGAGCTGGTGACAGATTAGTTTGAGTGCTTCTGTAGCTGTTTAATAAAATGTATAACTCTGTATAATTTTTTAATGGATGTAGATAAATGTGTCACCCATACTTAAAGCTGCCTTGTGAGATTTGCGGTGTTGCATAATGGTATACTTGTGGCAAATGCTTTCGTATTCTCTCTAATGCAGATCGGGAGTCCCCATGCCACGTGAAGCTCTTGCGGTCTCAAATGGTTGTCTATATTAGCTGTGGAAATGACCACACAGCTGTCCTCACAAAGGTAAAGAGAGATAGAAGAGTGGGGGAAGCCAGAATTCCTTGGAGTCATTGCTGCTCTTTTAACCCTGCCCCACCTGTTTTCGCACCACTCATTTAGAATTGCTTCCTCCCATTTCTCCGTATTTCCTTCTTCAGCGAAATAAATATGAAGTAATATATAATGAAAAAGTACCTCACCTGTATGTCCTTCCCATACAGTTCAGTCAGACAAACAATGGGCTTGTCTATGCACACATCAAAATGAGCTACTTTAATGGACTGTAGCACCAGAGACAGGATGTGTATGTGGATGGGTGGGGAAGCACTTACTAAAATTCTCTTCTTCAGCCCCCAAACCCACAACTCCTTGCACACAGAAAGCTAGCACAATGTTTCATGTGTAGATGAAGCATATTATGTATGTCTGGGAGAACTATGCATGCAACGAGGGGTGCTCTTTCTGCTGTAGCCATTTGCTTGGTTGAAGAGGCAAGCCACATTTTAACCAAAAAGTGGCTTGCCTTTTCAGCCAAGTGAGCAACAACAGCTGTTGTGAGCTTCTTCTCACATGTTTTATCCTCCTTTGTTCACCAGAGTGGAGGTGTGTTCACCTTTGGGGCTGGTTCCTTTGGGCAACTCGGCCATGACTGCTTGAATGATGAAGTAAACCCCAGAAGGGTTCTGGAGCTAATGGGCAGTGAGGTGTCCCAAATCGCTTGTGGTAGGTGAGTGGACTTTGTGTGCTGCTTCACCAGTGTGGTATGTAACAGTGCTGTTTGGGAAATGAGCAAAGCAGGAGTTGGAATGCTTGCAGTCTTGAGTGGTGACAGTTGGATAATGTTGTGCACTCATCAAGGCATGCCGTGTCAGATGTTCTCTGTGTACATGACCAATGCTCCCTCTAAGCTGTGGAGTCTTGCGAGCAAAAATTCTGCTTTGTGAGCTACTGGCATTAAAGCTGTGAGCCAGCGATTTGGCTGCTGCATAAATTAATTTGCTCTGGAGCCCTCCTTCCTGAGCAAAGACAAAAATGGGTGAGCTGGAGGCTTAAGAAACTGTGAGCTAGCTCACACTTGCTCAGCTTAGAGGGGACACTGTACACGACCATTCTTAATTTGGCTTATCGTTGCTGCTCTTGATTTTTCCTCCACCGCCTCAAACAGTTCCTGTAACTAAGAGGATGGATTATGTGGTGACATTTCTGGAGGCTTCAGATTTCGTTCTCATTAGGGTTCAAATGACATGCCACCATATCTTGCCCATTTTAGATTTAGCCACATGGGCAAAATTAGTAGCTCCTCATCTGGAATTTTCAGCTCCATTGGGTCCAAATCATCCCTCCTGTAGATTTGTGGTGAAGTGGCAGGGACCAGAGGTACTGTGTTATTAAGCAACTAAAGATGAATATCTGTCTCCCAATGTCGAGCACATGTGAAATGGCCACTTGCTTTTGATGGGGCTCATCTTCAGGCTCCTATGGGGTGACTGCTTCTCTTTGGTCTAAATGGATCTTTTGCCTTATTAGTAAAAGTCAGGTAAACGTTTCCCTTGCTCGAAAGCTAGTCAAATCCGACTCTAGGGGG